CTGGAGAAGGTCCAAGTTGGGCCACCAGGTTTGGGGACATCCTGGAGGACCCCGAGGTGGTGTCACCAAGGTTGGGACCTACTTGAGCCACTCCTTGATGGGGTCGAGCGAGGCCACCGGGATGGCGTTAATCATGGTGACCTTCTTGGAATAGTCCTTGTAGACCACCACCATGTCGAAGTTCTTCAGGTGGAACTGGACCCGCTCAAAGTGGATGAGCTCCACCTCGTCCAGCGTCACCACGAAGGGCGGCTGCGGGGAGAGGACATGTCACCAGGGGACCAAAAAATACACCAGGAAGGTGAAGAAGGTCGTGAGGAACCTTGAAGGACCTCAAAGGACCTTCTCCAAAATCCAGAAGAAGACCAGGAGAACCCAAAAAATCTCTAGGGACCATAGAGGACCTTCAGGAGAATCCATAAAACCTTGAGAACAACCCAAAAAACCTCGAGAAGACCCCAAAACCCTGAGGAGAACCCCCAAAAAACCATCTCCAGAAGGTCTTTGGTGGCCACCCCCAAGTTTTGGTGGCCACCTGGAGAAGGTCAGGATGAGACTCACCCACTCGGTGCAGTTGACCAAGGCGCTGGAGGTGGGTTGGAGAAGGCAGGTGCTGCGGTAGGGGGCGCCGTTGAAGCTGGGGAGGAGAGGACCATAAAAAAATCAGGAGAAGACCCAAAAAACCTCCAGGAGACCCCAAAAAACTCTGAAAACGCCCCAAAAAAACCTGGAGGAACCCCAAGAAGACCTCCAGGAGACCTCATAACACCTCAAAAAAGGCCAAAAAAATCTCCAGGAGACCCTAAAAAACCTGGAGGAACCTACAAAAAATCTTGAAGGATCTCAAAAAACCTTCTTGGATCTTCTGAAGAACCTTGAGGACCCCCGAAAAACCTGGAGGAACCCCAAGAAGACCTCGAGGAGACCCCATAACACCTCCAAAAACTCCCAAAAAACCTCCAGGAGACCCCAAAAAACCTGAAGGAACCTCCAAAAACCTTGAAGGACCTCCAAAAACCTTCAGAAGATCCCCCAAAACTTTGAGGAACCCCAAAAAACCTGGAGGAACCTTAAGAAGATCTCCAGGAGACTCCATAACACCTGAAAAAAGTCCAAGAAAAACTCCAGGAGATCCCAAAAAACCTGGAGGAACCTCCAAAAAAACCCTCCAGAAGAGCCGAAAACTAAGATGGCCGCCAGGTTGTCCACCTACCCCAGCTCCCGGAAGGGGACCTCGAACTCCAGCTCCTCCTTGGTGAGAGCTTCGACCTTCTCGATGAAGTTTTTGAAGGCAGTCTTGAGCTTGTGTCTCATCTCCCGTTCCATCTAGAAGAAGACAACGTTGGTCAGAAGGACCATGGGTGGTGGTGGGAGGTGAGAAGATGTGGAGATGGTGGGGGAGGGTGGACCTGCTCGGCGTAGAGGTCGTCGCGGTCGTGCATGTGCTGGTGTTTGCCCAGGTCGGTGGTGATCTCCCCGACCTCCGTGTAGAACTGGACGTCCGTGTGGCGCTTCTTCCCGAACATGATGGCGTTCTGGTGGGACAACCCCCCGAGGTGGACCTTCAGGAGGGTCCTCAAGAGGTCCAAAAATCACCCAGAAGATCCATAAAACCAATTAGGAGATCTCCAAGAGCTTCAGGAGGTCCTCAAGACCTCCAGAAGGTCCAAAAACCATCCAGGACGTCCTCCAAGATCTCCAGAAGATCCTCAAGACCTTCACGAGGTCCTCAAGACCTTGAGAAGGTCCAAAAACCTCCAGGAGGTCCTCCAAGATCTCCAGAAGGTCCTCCAAGATCTCTAGAAAGTCCTCAAGATCTCTAGGAGGTCCTCAAGACCTTGAGAAGGTCCAAAAACTTCCAGAAGGTCCCCAAGACCTTGAGAAGGTCCAAAAACCATCCAGGAGATCTACCAAGACCTTCAGAAGCTTCTCAAGAGCTCCAAGAGGTCCACCAAGATCTCCAGGAGGTCCTCAAGGTCTTGAGAAGGTCCAAAAACCTCCAGGTCCTCTAAGATCTCCAGAAGGTCCAAAGGCCTTGAGGAGGTCCTTCAAGACCTCTAGAAGGTCCACCAAGATCTCCAGGAGTTCCTCAAGACCTTGACAAGATCTCCAAGACCTCCAGAATGTCCAAAAACCTCCAAGAGGTCGTCCAAGGTCTTCAGAAGGTCCAAAGACCTTGAGGAGGTCCTCCAAGACCTCTAGAAGGTCTTCCAAGATCTCCAGGAGGTCCTCAAGGTCTTGAGAAGGTCCAAAGACCTTCCAGAGGTCCTCCACGAGCTCCAGGAGGTCCTCAAAACCTTGAGAAGGTCCAAAAACCACCCAAGAGGTCCTCCAAGATCTCCAGAAGGTCCACCAAGACCTCCAGAAGGTCCTCAAGGTCTTGAGAAGGTCCAAAGACCATCCAAGAGGTCCTCCAAGACCTCTAGAAGGTCCCCAAGATCTCCAGGAGGTCCTCAAGACCTGCACAAGGTCCAAAAACCACCCAAGAGGTCCACCAAGACCTTGAGGAGGTCCACCAAGATCTCCAGGAGGTCCACCAAGACCTTGAGGAGGTCCACCAAAACCTCCAGAAGATCCCAACCCCACCCAGCAGGTCCAAAGCCCCCCCACCCAAGTTGTCCTCCCAAGATCTCCAAGAGTTGGAGAAGATCCCCCCCAAAGGCCCCAGAAGATCCCAAAAGCCACCAGGGAGGAGAAGACCTTGAGGTGGAAGTGGAGGACGATGATCATCTCGCCGTCGCAGGGCTGGAAGACGGCGTGTTTGATGTTGTTGTAGAGGATGTCCACCTTGTCCCCCCGCACCGAGGTGAACCGGAAACCTGCCCAGGAGAAGACATCTTGGGGTGGCCCACCAGGTCCACCAGGAGCTCCAGGACCTCCTCCAGACCTTCAGAAGGTCCAAAAAGCTCCAGGAGGTCCATCAAGACCTTCAGAAACTCCAAAAACCCACCCAAAAACTTCTCCAGAGCTCCAGGAGATCCACCAAGATCTCCAGGAGGTCCACCAGGAGGTCCACCAAGATCTCCAGGAGGTCCTCCAGACCTTGAAAAGGTCCAAAAAGCTCCAGGAGGTCCATCAAGACCTTCAGAAACTCCAAAAAACCACCCAAAAAGTTCTTCAGATCTCCACGAGGTCCTCCAAGATCTCCAGAAGGTCCACCAAGATCTCCAGGAGGTCCACCAAGACCTTCACAAGGTACAAAAACCTCCACAAAGTCACCAAAACTGGTGAGGAGGTCCTCCAAGACCTCCAGAAGGTCCCCAAGACCTTGAGAAGGTCCAGAAGACCTTGAGAAGTTCTCCAAGACCTCCACAAGGTCCTCCAAGACCTCCAGAAGATCTCCAAGACCTCCACGAGGTCCCCAAGGCCTGCAGAAGGTCCCCAAGACCTCCAGGAGGTCCAAAAACCATCCAAGAGGTCCTTCAAGACCTCCAGAAGGTCCCCAAGACCTCCAGAAGGTCCAAAGACCATCCAAGAGGTCCTCCAAGACCTCCAGAAGGTCCTCATGATCTCCAGGAGGTCCAAAAACCATCCAAGAGGTCCTCGAAGACCTTGAGAAGGTCCAGCAGACCTCCAGAAAGTCCCATTTGAAGGTCCCCAAGCCTTGGAGAAGATCCTCCAAGAGGTGCAGTCCCTCCTCCAGGCCAGCAGGGGGTCCCCGTACCGTTGACGTGGGCCTCCAGGGAGCCCTGCATCCTCTTCTGGGCGATGTTGGGGCGGATGTAGAGGTCCTTCAGCTTGGGGTTGCTGCGGTTCAGGTTGATGACCAACGAGTCCTGCTTCACGATGCCCTGGAGAAGACCCAGAGGACAACCCCCCAAAAATGAGCAGGAGACCCCCAAAAACCTTCAAGAAAATCCCCAAAAAGCACCAAGAGACCCCAAAATCCTGGAGGAACCCCGAGGAGACACCCAGGAGACCCCATAAAACCTCAAGGAGACCCCAAAAGACCTCTAGGCCACCCCAAAAATCCTTGAGGAACCTCAAAAATTCTTGAAGGACCTCAAAAAAACCTTCAGGCCACCCCACCAAGTGCTGACAAGATCCAAAAAAATCTTGAGGAGCCCCAAGAAGACACCCAGGAGACCCCATAAAACCTCGAGGCCACCCCAGAAGACCTCGAGGCCACCCCAAAAATCCTCGAGGAACCCCCCCAAGCCCACCTCCTTCTCCTTCTCCTCGGCTTCTCGGGTCTTGTAGCGCTTCTGGACCTCCTTGATGATGCGAAAAGCGTTTTGGAGATTCAACGCCGGCACCGTCTGCTCGCCCGGGGTCTTCATGTTGGACGCTCGGTAGGTTCTGGAGAAGATCATGGAGTTAGGAGGACCTCCAGGAGATCCCAGAAGTCCCCCCGATGTTCTCCTGGTGGTCCTCACATCTCCTTGACGAAGGTGGCCTCGGGGTTGGGGAAGATGTTGCCCTCGTTGCGACCCAAGGCGCTGCCCGGGCAGTAGAAGTTGATGCGGAGGTAGGTGTAGTCGCCTTCCACCGACATGCTGATGTTCTGTGAGGAGGACAGGAGAAAGGTCACCTCCAAAATTCCCAGGGTGGACAACCCCAGAGGACCTCGAAAGCCACCCAACCGCCCAAAAATGTGGAGAAGACCCCAAAAAACCTTCAAAAAAACCCCAAAAAAGCCCCAAAAAACTTGGAGAACTCCCCAAAATCTTGAGAAGGTCCAAAAAAATCTTGAAGGACCTCAAAAAACTTTCTCAAAATGTCAAAAAAAACAAGAGGAACCCAAAAAAAAGTTCAGGAGATGACAAAAGACATCGAGAAGATTCCATAAAACCTTCAAAAAATCCCAAAAAAGTCTTCAGGAGACCTCAAAAAACCTTGAGAAGGTCCAAAAAACCCACCAAGAACCTTAAAAAAATCTTGAAGGACCTCAAAAAACAAATGTCAAAAAAACCAAGAGGAACCCAAAAAAAAGTTCAGGAGATGACAAAAGACATCGAGAAGATTCCATAAAACCTTCAAAAAATCCCAAAAAAGTCTTCAGGAGACCTCAAAAAACCTTGAGAAGGTCCAAAAAACCCACCAAGAACCTTAAAAAAATCTTGAAGGACCTCAAAAAACCTTCTCAAAATGTCAAAAAAAACAAGAGGAACCCAAAAAAAAGTTCAGGAGATGACAAAAGACATCGAGAAGATTCCATAAAACCTTCAAAAAATCCCAAAAAAATCTTCAGGAGACCTCAAAAAACCTTAAGAAGGTCCAAAAAACCCACCAAGAACCTAAAAAAATCTTGAAGGACCTCAAAAAACCTTCTCAGAACTCCAAGAAAAAAAGGTGGAACTCCAGAAAAAGTTCAGAAGATGACAAAAGACATCGAGGAGATTCCATAAAAGCTTCAAAAAGCCCCCAAAAATTTTCAGGAGACCCCAAAAAACCTTGAGAAGGTCCGAAAAAATCTTGAGGGACCTCAAAAAACCTTCTCAGAACTCCAAAAACACGCAAGAAGGACCCAAAAAAATTTCAGGAAATGACAAAAGACATCGAGGAGATTCCATAAAAGCTTCAAAAAATCCCAAAAAATCTTCAGGGGACCCCAAAAACCCAAGAAAAAACCCCAAAATCCTTGAGGAAACCCCAAGGTCCTCCAGAACGTTCTGGAGAAGATTTTGGGGCATTTTTGGAGAATTTTGGAATTTTTTTGAGAATTTTGGGGCAATTTTAGAGAATTTTTGGGGCAATTTTGGGAAAATGTTGGAAAATTTTGTGGCAATTTTGGAAAATTTTTGAGAATTTTAAAAAATTTTGGAAAATTTTGGGGCATTTTTGGACCTTTTTGGGCCATTTTCTGATTTTTTTGGCCATTTTTGGGCCATTTTTGGACCTTTTGGGGCCATTTTCTGATTTTTTTTGGCCATTTTTGGACTTTTTGGGTCATTTTTTGACTTTTTTGGACATTTTTGGACTTTTTTGGCCATTTTTGGACCTTTTTTGGGTCATATTTGGAGTTTTCAGGTCATTTTTGGACAATTTTTGGACCTTTTTGGGTCATTTTTGGACCTTTTGGGGCATTTTTGGAGTTTTTTTGGGTCATTTTTTGATTTTTTTGGGGCAATTTTTGGACCTTTTTGGGCCATTTTTCGACTTTTTGGGGCCATTTTTTGACCTTTTTGGGCCATTTTTAGAATTTTTTTGGACATTTTTGGACCTTTTTGGGCCATTTTTTGACCTTTTTTGGTCACTTTAGGACCTTTTTGTGTCATTTTTGGACATTTTGGGACCTTTTTGGGTCATTTTTTGACCTTTTTTGGTTATTTTTTGACTTTTTTGGGTCATTTTTGGACTTTTTTGGGTCATTTTTTGGACCTTTTTGGATTTTTTTTGGTTCTCCAGGACATTCTGGGGTCCCCAGGAGGATTTTTGGGGTGTCCCCGCCCCGTACCTTGATGGTGGCGATGTGGAAAGGGGTGGCGATGCCGAAGACGGGCATGATGACGGTCTCGTATTTCTTGTCGATATAAATCTTCATCTCCCGGATGTGCGGCTCCTTCGGCATCAGCGCCGGGTTCTTGTAGGAGATGTTGGACTTCCTGGCCCTGGGAGGGGGAAAAAAAAGGGGTTCAAGCCCATCCCCCCATTTTTTTTTCCTAAAAAAACCCAATTTGGGGGATTTTTCCTACAAAAAACCACAAGAAGAACCCAAAAAACCTCAAAAAACCCCAAATATCCTAAAAAAAACCCCCAAAAAATCTTGAGGAACCTCAAAAAACCCCCTCAAAGCTCCAAAAGTCCCCTGAAGAACCCCCAAAAAACTCCAGAAGATCCTGAAAAATATCCAGGAGACCCCATAAAACGTCAAAAAAACGCCAAAAATGCTCCAAAAACATCAAGGAACCCCCAAAAAAACCTTCAGGACACCCCAAAAAAACCTTCTCAAACCTCAAGAAAAACCTTGAGGAACCTCAAAAAACCTCCTGGAAATCCTAAAAAACCTCCAGGAGACTCCATAAAACGTCCCAAAAAATCCCAAAAAACCCTGAAAATGCCCCAAAAACCCCAAGGAACCCAAAAATACCTTCAGGAAACCCCAAAAAAGCCTTGAGGGACCTCCAAAAACCTTCTCAAACCTTTAGAAAATCCTCGAGGAACCTCCAAAAACTTCCTGGAAATCCTAAAAAACCTCCAGGAGACCCCATAAAACGTCCGAAAAAATCCCAAAAAACCCCAAAAATGCCCCAAAATCCCCGAGGAACCAAAAAAAATGTTGAGGGACCTCCAAGAACCTTCTCAAACCTCAAGAAAAAGCTCGAGGAACCTCCAGAAACCTCCTGGAAATCCTAAAAAACCTCCAGGAGACTCCATAAAACGTAAAAAAAAAACCCCAAAAACCCCAAAAATGCCCCAAAATCCCTGAGGAACCCCAAAAATCGTAATTTTCGGGTTTACTTCTGGATCTGCTGCTCCCCCTTCTGCTCGGTCAGGCGTCTCCTGGCCTCCTCGTTGAGCTGAGCCGCCAGCTCCTTCTGGTGGGCGCGGCGCTTCTCCTCGGCCGTCAGCTCGTTCTGGAGGAAGTGACGTCATAAGTGACCTCATCGGTGACATCATCGACGCAAAAAAAAAACCCAAAAATGAGGATTTTTGGAGGTCCCGGACTCACCCGCGTCCTCTCGGTGAGAAGAGCCGCCCGGGAGCTGCGGCCGAGGAGATCTTCAGCCTCGTCCTTCTCCTCCTCTTCCTCCTCCTCGTCTTCGTTCTTTCGGGGAGAAAAAAGGCAAATTTGGGGTTTTTGGGGAAAAAAAGGAAATTTTGGAGATTTTGGGGAAACTTTGGGACTTTTTTGGAGAATTTTGAGGGAAATTTGGAGAATTTTTGAAATTTTTTGGAGAATTTTTGGAGAATTTGAAAATTTTGGGGGGTTTCTGGAGAATTTTTGGAGGATTTGGAACCAAATTTGGAGATTTTTGGAGAATTTTGAAAATTTTGGAGAATTTTTGGAGAATTTTCTAAATTTTGGAGATTTGTGAGAAATTTGAAAATTTTGGAGAATTTTTGGAAATTTTGGGGAAATTTTGGGACTTTTTCGAGAATTTTGAGGGAAATTCAGAGATTTTTGGAGAATTTTGAAGATTTTGGAGGATTTTTGGAGAATTTGAAAAATTTTGGGACTTTTTGGAGAGTTTTGGAAAATTTTGAACCAAATTTGGAGGTTTTTGGAGAATTTTGAAAAATTTGGAGAATTTTTGGAGAATTAGAAAAATTTTGGGACCTTTTTGGAGAACTTTGAGGGAAATTTGGAGATTTTTGGAGAATTTTGGAGAATTTTGAAGGAAACTTGGAGCTCTTTTGAAAATTTTGACAATTTTTGGAGAATCTGAAAAATTTTGGGACATTTTAGGAGAGTTTTGGAAAATTTTGAACCAAATTTGGAGATTTTTTGGAGAATTTTGGGAGAATTTGAAAATTTTGGAGAATTTTTGGAGAAATCGATAATTTTGGGAGAAATTTGGAGGATTTGGGGGCATTTATGGAGGTTTTTGGGGCATTTTTGGAGGTTTTTGGGGCATTTTTGGAGGATTTTGGGGCATTTTCGCCCCCAATTTGTGTTTTTTTCCAAAAATTTGAATTTTTAGAAATTGGGTTTTTGCCCAAAATCCCCGGTTTTTGCCCCGTTCCGGCGTCACCTTGAGGAAGATGCCGACGTTCTTGACCTTCTTCTTCACCGACGTCAGGACGGTGGCGGGACCTTCCTGGAGGGGGGGACAAGAGGTCATTGGCCCCAAGTGCCACCAAAGTGTTCCCAAGCGTCACCAAGGGCCACCACTGTCCCCAAGGGTCACCAAAGTGCCACCAAAGTGTCCCCAAGTGTCCCCAAGTGCCACCAAAGTGTTCCCAAGCGTCACCAAGTGCCACCACTGTCCCCAAGTGTCACCAAGGCGTCACCAAGTGTCCCCAAGTGCCACCAAAGGGTCCCCAAATGACACCACTGTCCACAAGGGTCACCAAAGTGTCCCCAAGTGTCACCAAAGTGTCCTCAAGGGCCATCAGTGTCCCCAAGTGTCACCAAAGTGTCCCCAAGTGCCACCAAAGTGTCCCCAAGGGTCACCACTGTCCCTAAGTGTCCCCAAGTGCCACCAAGGCATCACCAAGTGTCCCCAAGTGCCACCAAAGGGTCCCCAAGTGTCCTCAAGTGTCACCAAAGTGTCCCCAAGGGCCACCACTGTCCCCAACTGTCACCAACGTGTCCCCAAGTGCCACCAAAGTGTCCCCAAGTACCACCACTGTCCCCAAGTGTCACCAAGGCATCACCAAGTGCCACCAAAGTGTCCCCAAGTGTCCCCAAGCATCAGCAAGGGCCAACGGCCCCCAAGTGTCACCAAGAGTCCCCAAGTGCCACCAAAGTGTCCCCAAGGGCCACCAAGTGCCACCAACGTGTCATCAAGGGCCACCAAAGTGTCAAGTGCCACCACTGTATACAAGTGTCACCAAGGCGTCCCCAAGTGTCCCCAAGTGCCACCAAAGTGTCCCCAAGGGCCACCACTGTCCCCAAGTGTCACCAAAGTGTCCCCAAGTGCCACCAAAGTGTCCCCAAGGGTCACCACTGTCCCTAAGTGTCCCCAAGTGCCACCAAGTGCCACCACTGTCCACGAGTGTCCCCAAGAGCCACCCCAGTCCCCCAG